AGGATATTCAAATGGCCAACAAGCACATGAAAAGATGCTCAACATTATTAGCCATTGTCGTGGTGGTAGTGTGCCATCAAGTCTATTCTGACTCATAGCGACCCTATATGACAGTAGAACTAATAGGGTTTCCTAGACTGTAATCTTTATGGGAGCAGATCACCAGGGCTCTTCTCCTGCAGAGTTGCTGGTGGGTTCGATCCGCCAGTCTTTTGGTTAGCAGCTGAGCACTCAACCATTGTACCACTAGGCTCCTTCATCAGCCGTTAAGGAGATGCAAATCAAAACTACAATGAGATGTTACCTAACCCCCATTAGAGTGGCAGTTATCAAAAAAACGGAAAACAACAAGTGTTGACCAGGATGTGGAGAAACTGGAACCCTCTTCCATTGCTGGTGGGACTGTAAAATGATACAGCCAATGTGGAAAACAGTTTGCCGATTCCTTAAAAAAATTGAACCTAGAGCTACCGTATGTTGTTGTTCCCCCAGAGCCAACAGAGAAAGCCTTCTGGAGCTGGCACCCTGAATTTGGACTTCTAGCCTCCTAAACTGTGAGACAATAAATTTCTTTGTTAAAGCCACACACTTGTAATATTTCTATTATAACAACACTAGATAACTAAGACAATGGCTCTCTCCCAAACTGAACCACCTACAACCCAGCTTTTTAAGGTGATGTGTGTTCATAATCTGTCTGACAGAGCCCCAGAAAGTTCTCTTTAGTTTAAAAAAAAAGAAGGAAGGAAGAAAGAACTATGATTTCTGGGTCCATTTTCTACCCAAATATACAGAACTTTTCTGTAATTCACTTGGAACCAGCAAACATTGTCTGTCCTTTTCCACAGTCTAAATTGTGAATTAGGACTTTTAATTTAGTAAAAATAAGGGGATAAAAAAAATTCCAATTGTAAGTGGAACTGACTGATGCCTCAAGCTATTTGTTACCAAGCTGAATACAGGAACTTTGGTGATTGTCATCCTTGTCACTGATATGAAACTATTATTATTATCA